ATCGAGCAGCTTCTGGTACTTCCGTAGTCCCATATAGCACCTCGAGACTGCGCAGAGGTCGAGTTTACATGTGTTGTCAGATACATAGTGAGATACACAGACAGACAGATTGACAGACGGGCAGATGTAAGGGATAGTTCAGACACGAGGAGTCAATAAAGGATGGGATATCGCGAGGGCGGCCGTGGTGGTATTTGCCAAGCGGAGGGGGTGGGCCGGCAGCGACCATGGGAAGCTGGGGCCTGCCCAACCCGACGCCGGCCCTATCAGCACAGCCTGGGGGCAGGTTGCCCTGGCCACTACTTAGGGCACCATGCTGCCCCTGCTCGCCCTCCTGGACCTTTAGTTAGGTGCAGTTTGAAGGGGTTTGCATGCCGTTTTGTTTCATTTAATTTCATCCTTTTCACAGCTTGGCAGTATCAGCATGGGGATGGATCCATTATCAGGAAAGCCGGCCTGGGTGCCCATTTTCATGAGTGCGGGGATCCCCGTAAGGGATCCTGGTGTGAGGGTGAAGTGGTATGCCCAGCCCCGGGGGCACGGCTGGGGATTACCCTCACAATCAGGTGGCAGGGGAGATCACCTTGGGGCGTCCACCCTTGCGGAATCCAGAGACCTGTCATCCCAAGGTTTCCAGTGGATCATCGACTGACAGGAAGGCCAGTTGATAAACAGGATCCAGTACCCCATGCTGTGTCAGAGCATGCTACAGCTGTAACCAATAAAGTTGTGGCCAATTTTATTCCACTTTTCTGAAAAACATATGTACGTGTACGTTATTTCAACTGAAGCTATGGGATGGGATTAGTATTTAGTTGAGCATAGAGGAACTCTTTGCCTTAGGTGCCTGCCTCACCCTTCCCCTGGGCACTGGGGCCACAATGATGTACTTTAAAAGTAAAACAAAACCCTGTCCAAGCTTACTTCTTGTTCAAATGAAAGCTTCTCAAGTACCCAGACAAAGGTGAAAAACCATGTGTGGGGCTTTACTGAGCTCCTGGTCTCTTACTCTTAAAAGGTTTCCCTTGCTCAAAAGCTAGTTGAATCCTACTCTAGGGGGCGGTGCGTCATGGGCTGGGGTGCCAGTCAAAGGGAGTCTAGAACAGGCCAAGTTTAGGAGCCAAGAAAGTGCAAAGTCCAAAGCCAAGCCGGGGTCAGGATCCAGAGTCGAGTCCAAAGCCGAGTCCAAAATCACTAACCAGAAGTGTAGTCCAAAGCTAAGCCGGGGTCAGGAGCCAGAAACACAGAGCCAAGTCCAAAATCACTAACCAGAAGTGTAGTCCAAAGCCAAACCGGGGTCAGGAGCCAGGAACACAGAGCCAAGTCCAAAGACAGGGGGTCCGAAGGTCTAGATGCAAGAGCCGAGCCAAAGTGGATGTAGGCAGCACGAAGCTGACTCGTTGCTTCCACAAAGAGTACTGCCCAGAGTGTGGAGTTAAATGCTGCTACCAATTAGCCAGCTGCACGATCGCCCAGAACTCTGGGCTAGCTGAGCGTCTCCCCTGTAGCCTGGCCTCTCTTTGCCTGGTTGCTAAGTTTTGCCGCAGTCACTCCCTTAAACAAGTCACACATCCGGGTGACTCAGGAGGACTTTCAGCTTGCAGTTCTTCCTTCTTATCTGAGCCAGGTGTGAAGACTGTTGTTACAGGCACTTGCCAGCTATCCTCCTCTGCTGCTTCAGAGGGGCCAGCTGTGGTTTCTGCAGGCTCTGTCAGCTCATCCTCATCCACACCCATGACACGGTGCTCATCTCTGTTTCCAAGCCAAAGAGCCAGCACTGTTCGAAGACGTTTCCGTGGTCATGTGGCCGGCATGACTAGACGGCAAGGTGCACGGAACGCTGTTACCTTCCCCCCAAAGCAGTACCTATTTATCTACTTGCAATTTCTTGCTTTCGAACTGCTAGGTTGGCAGGAGCTGGGGCCAGAGACGGGAGCTCACTCCGTCATGCGGCACTTGGGTCTCGAACTGCTGAGCTACAGACCTTCTGGTCTGCAGGTCAGCGTCTTAACCTCTGAGCCACTGCAGCCCCCTCTCTTATTCTTAGTCATGTAAATTAAGAAGGGATCACATGCTAGTGTTCAGGCCTTTTCCAGATTACTGTTCTCTGTAGCTTGTAGTTGCTTTCTGGACAAGCTGTCTTCTACCCACACATCCAATGAAGTCATAGTTCTTATGCAAATTATCTGATTTTTAAAAAATTATTTACACAAGAATGCTCTCTTGCAAGTCATTACAATGAGTAAATAAGAACCACCACAGGCTCTCCCTTATTTATCAGCTTCAGGTGGTGTATTTTAATTAACAGCCAGTTCTTTCCACACAGGTGAGATTTATAGCACATTCGTCATATATTTCTGTTTTTACTATGGATGTTGGTTATTCTGTAATTTGGACAACTGATGCAATATCACAGGCTGCCGGCAGGCCAGAAGAAGAGTGGTTTGGCCTTCTGCTATGGCTTTAACAGCTATTTAATCTGCAAAAATCAACAATGAATCTTTTCGCTGCAGGAAGACAAGCATTCTCTCTTGTTGATATCTGCACACAAAGCTGCTGTTAAAGGTACATGAGGGATCAGATTGCCTTCATAGTCAAGTAGGGTTGCCAGCTCTGGGCTGGAAGATTCCTGGAGATTTTAGGGGTAGAGCCTGAGGAGGAAGGATCTGGGGAGGGGAGGGACCTCATAGTGCCACAATCTCTCTATATTATAAAGCTAATTTGGGGTGACCATGCTCGATGTGCTCCCTCAGCCATAGGCTGAGGCAGCCGCCAGTCATACCAGGGACTCTGGCCACTGGCCACGGTCTCTGCCACCTGCCCACAGATCAGGCGCTGGGGTGAACGTGCCCCGCGATAGGCTGAGCCACCTGCTACTCATGCCGGGGATGCTGGCCACTGGCCACGGTCTCTGCCGCCCACCCACAGATGAGGCTCCGGGACGAACATGCCCCATGATAGGCTGAGCCAACTGCCACTCACACCGTGGGTGCTGGCCGCGGTCTCTGCCACCCGCCCACAGATGACGCGCCAGGGCAAACGTGCCCCATGATAGGCTGAGCCAGTTGCCACTCACACCGGGGACGCTGGCCACTGGTTGCGGTCTCTACCGCACGCCCACAGATGCGGCGCGGGGGGAACGTGCCCCGCAATTTGAACACGCCCTGGCGGGGTCTCGCCCTGCCACCCAAAGAACCGCCACGCAGCGTGGGAAGATCGCCAGTGGCCAATGGCTAGGGTTCGTTGTCTTCCCCCACAATGGGCTTTCCTCCTAGTGTATCCATAATGTACAATATAGAATTTTCACCCTCCACAGTAGCTATTTCCTCTAGGGGAACTGATCTATTTAGTCTGGGCATCAATTGTAATTCCAGGAGACCTCCAGGTCCCGCTTGTAATTGTATGTCTTTTAATGCAATAACACACTTTGTACTTTACTTGTACTTTGCATGGTAGTTTATCTTATATCGCTATAAATATTTTTGTAAAAAACAGATTCTGTTTACATTCTTCAAGGCTGCTTTTGTAGGTTTGGCAACCTCACTCAATAGCTCAGCTGAGGCAGCACACCTAAACCACAGTTTGAGGACATGGAACATTCTCTTTACGCATGTCAGTCCCTTCCTCCACTTACTGGTTCACATTAACAATAGTTTGCCATGATAGCTGAACTAGCCAAGCTATAGGTGAATATAGATGGCCACCTTACTATGTGGTTGCCTGGCCGTTTGCATTACATGCAAACTGGAAGGTCTGTAGTTCAACAGTTCGAGACCCTGGTGCCGTGTGATGGAATGAGCTCCTGTCTCTGGTACCAGCTCTTTCCAACCTAGCAGTTCGAAAGCAAGAAATTACTAGTAGATAAATAGGTACTGCTTCGGCGGGAAGGTAACAGCATTCCACGTGCCTCAGCAATTAGTCCTGGCGGCCACATGACTATGGAAACGTCTTCAGACAGTGCTGGCTCTTTGGCTTGGAAACGGAGATGAGCACTGCCCCCTAGAGTCGGATTCAACTAGCTTTCAGGCAAGGGAAACCTTTACTTTTAACTATTTAAATACTTTCTGTTTTCATGAGGGGTTTCTCCCCTTTTTGATATGCAAAGATATTCTTTTTAACTGGGGAAAAATGCAGCATTTGATCCTACCAGCTCTCCCCTACAACAAAAAAAATGAGGAACAACCTCACCTAATTCCCCTCCTCACTGCAGCTCCCCATCCTATATGCCTTTTTACCCATGTGAATCCATGACTCCCATCACAGTTTATGGGGGGCTGGAGAAGGTGAACATAAAGAATGATCTGATTCCATCAGTGGAAAACTGGTAGTCACCAACCCATGGACACTAATTCCATTAAGTTGCATGATGAAAGACTCATATGTGCATTTATGATAGGAATGCTGTTTTCAGTGTGTGAATATTTAGATACTTGTACAGTGTAGGGATAGTATGCACAGCATATTTTAAGAAAACGGGAACATGAAATGAAGGAAACTCCACTTATTCTATGTGCATTGATAACATGGATGGATAACTCCAATTATGTACAATGGAGGCTGGTTTATTCCACTCCCACATTCCGGGGAAGAAGGAGGAGGAGGAGGAGGAGGAGGAGATTGGATTTATACCCCGCCCTTCACTACCCAAAGGAGTCTCAGAGCGTCTTACAATCTCCTTTCTCTTCCCCTCCCCACAACAAACACCCTGTGAGGTAGGTGGGGCTGAGAGAGCTCTGACAGAAACTGCTTTTTCAAGAACAGCTCTTATCAGAACTACGGCTTGCCCAAGGTCATCCAGCCAGGTGGAAGTGGAGGAGTGGGGAATCAAACCCGGTTCTCCCAGATTAGAGTCCGCGCACTTAACCACTACACCAAACTGGCTACACCATTTGTTAAAGAGCAATTCTGAAACTACACCTTAAGCAACAAATCACAGGATGCCACTTAATAGTCTACTCTTCATGTAATCTCAAAAAATTAGCACTCAGAAGCCTTGTTACCTTATTAATAGAGTTCGGTGTCTGAGGAATCTCATCCTTCAACATGGACAACGTGTTTCCTTCCATGTCTTTCCCTGAAATATAACAGCGCAAGAAAAATATGAAAACTGTCTGTGGAAAAACTTGGCTAAAAGGAAAAAATATATTGGAACATGCCTCTGTTCCTATGACAAGCAAGAACAGAGACTTTCACATTCCTACCCAGAAACAGGTAGATAACTATAGAAATACTCAGTGATTTTAGGAAAATATGCCAAGTGCTATAGAACAGGATGTAAATAACTGATCACACAGTAAGGTAATTTCACACAATAGTTATTTAACAGCCAATAGTTTACACAATTTCTGTATATGATTCAGAACTTGGAATTTTTGCTGGTCATTCCTTTAAACTTAAGGCTTGGTTCCCAAATGTAGAGCTATCACTTGATTTCCCTCCTACTAATAACTAGCAGCTGAATGAGTGAACAGACTCCAGTGCAAGTGATTGTACCTGAGGTAACGTAAACAGATAGGAAACATGCATTTGTAGTGTTGTATCTACAACTGCCAATTCACAAAGATCAAGTTATTACTTGATCTGCAGTTATCAATAGATGACCATACATATCTCTCATCCTGCAGACACTTTGGAGTAAGCCTGACTGAATTCTGTGAATAGAATTGGGCCACATGTGTGGGCTTGCCTCCTTCATGTATCAGTCAGTATTAGGGATGGGCATGAACCTAAAAAACCCAGTGCAGTTTGGGGTTCAGGGCGGCCCCCAAACCGAATCAAGCCAAAAGGCTCCCACCCAAACCGAGCGAGTCCAGCAAATTCAGTTCCCCCTTTCTCTCCAGCTGCACCTTGCCACAGCTGGGAGAAGGGGGGGGGGTATCGCCCAGGAAGTGGGCAGCCATTTAACCTAACTGTTTTGCTCCCCCCCCCCCACTTCGAAGCGGGGTAGAATGAAACCGACGGGTTTAATGGCTCGCAGCCATTTAAACCTAACAGCTCACGTGACTCTGTGTTTATATGGCCCCAAACAGCTAAATTGGACAAAAGTCTGGTAGATGTTCAGGGGCTCCGAACTGGCCCAAGTCCGTGCCAAATTTTGGCTTGTGAGCCAATTCATATCCATCCTTAGGCAGTATATCACCTATTCCTTTTATTGCATTGGAAGACCAGTGCAGTTAACTGTACGCATGTAAGTACCACTTTCACTGAACTGCTTCGCTTCATGCCCAGAATGAGTGTCAGTTGTGGCTCTCAAGTTGTTTTTGTTTACCGGGGGGGGGGTCCCAAACCCACATTCCTTAACTTGGAAGGCCTTTTATGACAAAGATTTATAACCACTGCCTTAAGATGAGACTTACATCGTTATCAATGGGACTACTACCAAGCAAATATTAGAACGGCGGCCATCCTTACCCCATCATTCTTAAATATTTCTTACATATGTAGTAAGTACGTATCTGTACAACAGTGTTTACAAGGATAGATGATCACTGAATGAATTCTCTTCTTTTCCCTGTGTATTTGTTTCGCTGAAAGAGAACATATGGTCTGGACTGCTAATTAATTTTAATGGGAATCACAAGATTAATGCGCGGTTCGCAAATATGCAAAGTTACCCTTCTGGTAGCTAAAAATTGACACCACCACCCTGCCTACTGATTTATGCCTTAAGGAAAAAAGTGCTGATAACTTAAGTATTTCCCCCCTCCTTTTCTATCATGGCATTTGGCATATCAGGAACACTTTCCAATTCTTTCATTATTCTACTAAAATCCTAATCCAAAACACATCTACCCTGGAGCAAGTCTCGATGATTTCAATAGAACTTACAGTCAAGTAAGTACGCACTGGAATTAATTATAGCAGCCTTTACACTATATATATTTTAGCCCAACTCTTATGTAAATGCTTGGGAGTAAATGCTTGGGATATATATTTTAGCCCAACTCCTATGTAAATGCTTCTCCAGTAGCCTCAAACCCTGCTTCTCCAGTAGCCTCAAACCTCAAATCCTAGGTCTCTGGATCAATGTTCCCTCTAAGCTGTGGGGTCTTGTGTGCAAAAGTTCTACTTTGTGAGCTACTGGCATTAAAGTTGTGAGCAAGCAATATGGCTACTGCATACATTAGCTTGCTCTGGAGCCATCCTTCCTGAGCTAAAACAAAAAAATGTGTGAGCCGGAGGCTGAAAATCTGTGAGCTAGCTCACACTAATTCAGCTTAGAGGGAACACTGCTCTGGATCCTAGGTCTCTGAGAAGTTCTGTTATTTACAAAGGCTTGAGAAACACCTTGTAAATAACCCTCCCCCATACCATAACAAAATCACATTAAAAATAGGAATACGTATGCATCAAAAAGGGATAGGAAGAACACCTAAATTACCTTACTGAGACAGTCCAACCCTATTAAAATTAAACTTTAAACGACAGCCACTGGAACAATGTGTTAAGACTTCCTGGAGAGCTGTAACCCCATCCCACTGAGCTTTCGCCCATAAGGGACACCTGTATGAAATGAGTGTTACTGAAACTTCAAGATGCTGTTCATTAGAGTTATTGATGCCTCCCAGGGCTTTTCCTGTGTGCTAAGGTATTGCCAGGGCCCTTTTAAAAAGCAGGTGGGTCCTTTTCCTGCCCTTTCTCCATGGTTCAGTTTACTTTGCTGCTAAGCAATAATCTTGGCTGGTGGAACATTAGCTGCCTTAGACCGGCTGTGGAGGAACACTCACATTATTACTTTCATAAAACTCAATTATTCTCCTAGGCATAATACCCACAACAAACAATAGCGTGGGATTGGGGGGGGGGAGAGAAGTGCAGTTTATAATGACGAATGAGCAGATCAAACTCGTTTGCTTCCCCCCCTTTATGTTCATATGGCTGTAATACTACACATATTTATTTATCTATGTGAAGAAATAAAACATGCACCTGGGAGTGAACACAACACTGACAGTGGGACTTTACATCTGAGTAAAAACTCAGCAAACCAAACTGCAAAACACCTGGAAAAAAGGGAAAGATTCAGGATCACGTTTCAAAAAGGGACACGTCTGAGGGCTGCCCCGCCTTACTCCTCCTCCTAGCTTCTCCGTGCCAGGCCGAGTGGCCCCTACTGAATTGCTGGACATCGTGCATTTGTTAAAGTAGCTAACCTTCTGTTGTGGAAAAAAATGAGATTAGTTCCACTAACCAACAGTGTTCCCTCTAAGCTGAGTTAGTGTGAGCCAGCTCATAGTTTTTTAACCTCTGGCTCACACATTTTTGTCCTCGCTCAGGAAGGAGGGCTCCAGGGCAAACTAATTGATGCCGCAGCCAAACTGCTCACTCACAACTTCAATGCCAGTAGCTCAGAAAGTAGAATTTTTGCTCACAAGATTCCAGAGCTTAAAGGGAACATTGCTAACCAACCATGGTAGAAAGAACAGGAAATGACTGACTCTTGTAACATCGATTGGTTGGTAGGGCTGACCTTTTTCTGACAAACTTTGCTCCTTTAATAGATGCATAATATGTAGAAATTCAACAAGTACCACCTTTGCTCCTTCTTTAAGGTTCATGTGGCAATAGAGAACCAGGATTGCCACCTGTTTGACTGGCCCATCTGCTATGCCTTTAACAGTTACCTGACCCACAGAACTTGAACAACCATCTTAAGTATATGTGGGTGGGTGGAGGAGTCCTCAGGCTGCAGTTAAAGGTACAGGTGTTGTAAAAAAGAAAAGTAGATTCAGGTGGGTAACTGTGGTGATCTGAAGCAGCAGAACGAAGTTCATGGTATAAGCTTTCGTGTGCAAGCACACTTCCTCAGATACAGGGGTCTTAAAGGTACCACTGGACTCAAACTCTGTTCTGTAGAAAAAGTAGTAAGTCTAGATCAGGGGGATACCATGGAATCTGCTAGAATCTGTCCTGGTGCCTGCGAAGTGTTTATAGAAAGTGGGTTGGGCCAAGTGGGGCTTTTGCCGGACAGGGCTTCTGATTGGCCACTGGAGATCTGATTGGTTGTACAGATTTTTTTAAAGTTGTTTCAGTGGCAGCTGCCACCAAAGCACTTGACTGTGTGACTGAAGATAAGCTATGTGTATGCAAGAAAAGGCATCCTGTTAAACACAGCTTCTGCTGAAATTAGGCTTGCCCGGCAGATCGGGCCCCGGGGGGAACTCCACCCTGATGTGCACGTCACCCGGAAGTGACGCGGGCACGCTGGGGGTGGGGCCAAGGTCATCCGAGGGGAAACTTTATGGTTTTCCCTCGGATGGTCGTGGCCCCACCTCCAGCGTGCCCGGCGTGCCCGCGTCACTTCCGGGCAATGTGGATGCGGCGCTCCAGCCGGGAGTCCCCCGCTGCGGCTGAATTCACACTTGGCAACCCTAGCTGAAATACTGAATTACTATTAGAGTTATGCATGACCTCCCTGTGGCAGCCATTTTGTGGTTGACTCCTCCTCCCGGTGGCAGAATGCCAAAGGTGTCCACAGGCTCGAAAAAGTTGGGGACCTCTGATCTGGATACCTCTTTTGGGCTTGTTTGACAAAGATGCCCCACGACTTGGCCTTGTCTCTCGTACACTTTGTCACTATTGAAGCTTTTCCACTTTTGAATTTGGTAAATGTTGAATAATCACCTCGCAACAACCGGAAACAAGAAATGACAGTCACTACCATCATTTGTTGTGGGAAAAAATATGTTTTAGTAGGTGAAGTTTTTTCTTATTTCTTTGTGATAAACTGGAGCACACCAATATTAATCTTATTTAAATGTGTTATCTCCCCAGTCTGGAGTAGTGGTTAAGTGTGCGGACCCTAATCTGGGAGAACCGGTTTTGATTCCCCACTCCTCCACTTGCACCTGGCTGGATGACGTTGGGCAAGCCATAGTTCTGATAAGAGCTGTCCTTGAAAAAAAGCAGTTTCTGTCAGAGCTCTCTCAGCCCCACCTCCCTCACAGGGTGTCTGTTGTGGGGAGGGGAAGGGAAAGGAGTTTGTAAACCACTCTGAGACTCCTTTGGGTAGGTGGAGGGCGGGGTATAAATCCAATCTCCTCCTCCTCCTCCTCCTCCTCCTTCTTCCCTGCCCCACAAATTCTGGTGAGCACCTGAACATTTCGTACCTTTGAGAGACGTACAGTGGAACCTTTTCATACTGATCTCAATCTGCTTGCCTGTACTGAAATACAGGGTGGAAATGCTAATAACCCAAGACTTATCCCATGAGCTCAGGGGAAGCATCTTTCTACATGAGCTCAAGGGGAAAGGGGAGGTGGGGGAGAGGGTTAGGGTTAGAACATTGTTCCTGAATGGTTCACAGTTCACTTTTCAATCACTTCTCATTTGCCTGATGATGTGATTCTCAAAGTTTTTTCTGGGGTTTTTTTTGGGGGGGGGGACGGGACAGAAATTTTCAGAAAAATTGAAAAAAAAATGCTACATTAGCACTTCTTTTTTCTTTTCCAGATTGAAAGTCATTCTGTTACTTTAGGAACATAAAATATGACTATGGACATTTTTACTTGGCATGGAAATTATCACAACTAGCATATTAAAAATATAGTGTATCCAAACAGTTATTACAAACAGAATACCCGCCCACATGCAAAACAAAACTGAAACCTTCTTCTTTTCTTGTGACAATAGCACCTCCTAAAGGAAGAAATGCATCTTGTTCTTGCATTGGAGAGTTCAGTTTGTAACCTAGGACTTGCTTGTCCTCAGTGCACGGAAATTAGATCATATTTTTTTTAGAAATGATTTGGAAAATATTTGAACACCTTGTCTTAAAATATTTTATTCGTCATGTTAAAATAAAACGTTCCATAATCAATTTCTTTTCTTTTCTTTTTTCAATTTTTCGGGGAAAAAAACAAAAAAGTCTTCAGGAAAAAACTGGGGAAAAACTCCCTTTCCCCAAATTTTTCCGGTTTTTTCCCGGGCCTTCACATCTTCACATCTGGGCAGATACCAGAGCTGTGTTTTCATACACACACATTCAAAATAGCTTTTCATCAGGGCTGTCCTGGGAACTTACTGTTAAAGTTCCCAGTGGGCTGCTGCCCTGGAAAGCTACTGATGGCCAAGAGTACACAACTTCACTTGCTCCAGGAATGTTTTAACATCCTAACCTGACTCTGCTTTTGATCATGAGGTTTATAGGAATAATCGAGAATGGAAATCACTGCAAAACAATCTCCAAAGTGTGAAGAAACTCAGCTCCTTGGTCAGTAGTCCATCAAGCTCCTACTTGCCAGTAAACTGCGTCTCACATAACAAGCACCATTAGCTATTGGCCTCAGCCTCCCTAATCTCTAATATGGAAATAACAGTTAGGGTTGCCAATTCTGGGTTGGGAAATTTCTGAAGATTTGGGGGAGATTTGCCTGTGGAGGGACGAATTTGTGGGGGGTTTTCCCCTTAGAATCTATGGTACATCATAGAGTCCACCGTCCAAAAGAGCCAGTTTCTCCAGGAGAACAGATCTCTGTAATCTGGATATCACTTGTGATTCCAGGAGATCCCCCAGCCCCACTTGGAAGTTAGCATTAAATGGGAACTGTTATTAAATAGTACTTGCCTAGCGAAATAATGCATGTGAATCACTTTGCCTACTTAGATGAATGGGATCTAGAGAATTATGAGCAAAGTTTTGCTTCCACAATGAGGTGGTCTCACTTTGTCAGGCTTCCCAGTCAAACACTCGACAACGTTCCTTCAGAAGTTTCAGTTTATTGAAAGTTAGTATTCAGGACACCATGAACTCTTGTGTCAGGAATGACGGGATAAAGGCTAACATGAACAGATATACCCCCTTCAAACTAGACCCCCTGATACAGTAAAGCCAATAAGCAAGCACCTGCAAACACGGGCGAAAAGCAGTTACATTCCCAGCGGGAAAAGAGGTTCCAGCAGAGCCGAGCCTTCAAGGACACCAGACAGATAACAGAGCAGAGGCGAGGAGGCGCGGCGGATGGGGAGGGAGAAGCGGAGAGAGGCAAAGAGTACCCCACACATTCCAACCCATGGCAGCATTAGCTGACACACTTCCTCCTTCCCACGGCATCCCCTGAAAATCAAGGAACTATCCAGGTTGGTGTGGAAAGTGACAAAGGAACCGCAGCTTGGCAGGGGGTGGGAATTGGTCGAAAACGGTGTCCGACTGTTCCACAAGGCATCCTTTAGATCCTACCCTATATAAATATTATTGTATAGAGAATCATTGGTTATGTAATTTAAGTTATGTAATTTAAATTAGCGTATCAGAAACGTTCGGTCTCTATCACACTAAACCTAAACATGGCGCACTAAGGCTCATGAGGTCCACTAAAGTAACCACAGAGTAATGTACTAACATAGAGTTAACATAGCAAGAATAGTTAATAGCCGGGACTGTCATGTTATATTTATAAATTGTACTCTTCCAATGTTTACAATTATTATCTTGCTGTAATCTATATCTCCCTGTTATGGTTATGTTTTATCAAGCTATGTGCATTGTAAATAAAATATTAAAAGGAATTTTAAAAAATTATTATTGTATAGTAACATAAGGACCAAAGTGAGTGAGAGGCACCTTTCTATTCCTGGAAGTATTAACACCCTCCTCTCCCCTCATATCTTTCAGAACATAAAACGTATTCTGAAATCAAAGGGAATACTCACCTGGGCTGAGTGGGTAGATCTCATTATCGGCCCCAAAAAACAGGTTTCGGGTCAGCTTGCGAGGGTCAATCTTCTGAGGAGTAGAAGAAGCAGGGCAGAGAGAGAACCTGCGCCGAAGAAAATTCTCTTCCTTCATGGCATGAGCTGTAGGGGTTTTCTTTAAAAAAAAGAAGAAAAAGACACAAATAAGAGTCTGTATGGAGTTAACAGGAAATGTAGATGTCACACCCAGATTTGTTTTGCAGGATTAGATCAGACTATCAAACAGAATGTTCATTTTTTTTAAAGATCATTATGGACATACAATGTTAATATGAAGCTATATTTGACTGCTGCAATTCGTAAAGTCAAAAACCATTTTGAAATGTCTGTCTGTAAACGGAGTAAGGATAATATTCCCCCATAATGCATTCTGACATTATTTTAAGGTTGGGCGAGTTAAACGAGAATAGAACATTTGGTAAATATCTGGTATCTACATCAGCGGCTGTAAATAGTCTATTTTGTTTCTACCGTTCCACTTCACATGAGGAAACTGGTAACATTTTTCTGATCTTAACATGATGACTTTTCCCCCCCGAAAAAGGAAGGTCCCGGTCACACCGGCGGGAAAAAACGTTTCCCCCGAGCCACCGCTCATATTCTGTCAGGCGCAATTACATGGCCGGGGGAAGTGAGGCAAAGACGGGCGAGCGCATGCGCAGTCCGGCAGTCACGCATGTGCAGTCCAGCAGTCCCTCAAATAACACGGGCTGCCGGCGTGTCCGCAATCCCACGCGAGGCCTTGCTGCGGATCTTCCGGTAGGTACTACATTTCCCTAGTACCTTTTTGATCTGCGTTTTCGGCAGGAAGGGACAGGTTGGGGGCGGGGGGGCCCACGCTTGCCAGATGTTGGCATCTGATCACGCCCGTTTGATGTGCCCTCGGGGCAAATCCTCCCGTGTGACCGGGGCTGAAATCGGTTTCTTGGGAATTGGATCTTTGCGCTTCACTGCCGAACGATCACAGAAGATCAGGAAAAATCCTGCCCTTATGCTTTCAACAGCAATCTGAATTGCAAAAATCAGCTGGTAAAGGAGCAGGGGTAAACTTTATCCACAGCTGAGGCCTGCAAATCAGCCTATGGCTAAAGACACAGCAGCAGGCACTGGCTGGATTGTTGCCCACTCTACCTACACTTCTATGTCCCTGGTGCCCAAGATCTACAGACACAGGGATTCCCTGCTTTCCCAGGATCACCACCATTTGTCTTCTTCAGTATGTAAATGGATGCCACAAATCAGGTTGCCCCAGTGAAACTCCACCCATATAAATAATTCATTACCTTAAGAGAAGGTGTTCTCCACCAAATGTAACCTGTAATAACACAGTCAGAGTGTGTTACATGCATCTAAGGAGCAATGTTCCCTCTAAGCTGTGGAATCTTGTGAGCAAAATTCTACTTTGTGAGCTGCAGCCATCAAAGCTGTGAGCAAGCCATTTGGCTACTGCAGAGGTCATTTCGGGGGGGATCGCGGGGGAACACAGTTTCCCCGGGTGAGGGGCGGTGGGGCGGGGCACACGACGAAGCCCCGCCCCCTGCTTCCAGCTGCCCCGCTTCCAGCCCTCATTCAGCCAGGAGGAGGCAGGAGAAGAGGGAGGGTAAGTTGCTTCCTCCCCGCCTCTCCCCACCCCTGCCTGCCTGGGGCCAGGGAGGGCCTTGGCGGGGCTTCCTCGCACTCCCGCTGGCCTTGCAGGTCCACCGCCGGGCCCCTGATGTCAGCGGGTGTGGTGTATGCTAATGAGTTATGCTAATGAGTTCCCCTAGCTCTTTTTCTACGAAATGACCCCTGTGGCCTTGCAGGTCCACCGCCGGGCCCCTCATGGGGCTCGGCAGTGGAGCTGCAAGGCCGGCAGTGGCGGGCGGGACCGTTGGGGGCGGGGTGTGTGGCCTTATGACACACTTCCGGCGATG